AACGGGGGCTTGGCCGGACCCGACACCCCCAGAACCGCAGGGGCTCGGTGCCGACAGAACCTGGGCCGAGGAGCGGGACAAGGGCCGAGGTGCTTCCGACCGTTCCGCGTAGCGCCCACGGACGCAGCCAGATATTCAATTATCAAAACATGATGCTGTATAAATGAAAGAAAATATCGATCTTTTTGCATCAAAATGCAATCATGCCAAATCAAAAACAATTAATGTCACTGAATGCAGATTTATAGCAGGAAATAGGCACACAGTTTTTATAGGTAAATTGCTTAAGATATAATCTAGGCTTTACTATATTTTCATTTCTATTAAATGAGGAGACGGCAGAGAACACTGAGCTCACTACATCTGACCATCTCTCCACACAAATCAAATAGTTTATATTTTGTGAAGTAAACAGCAAAACCAGCGCATCTAATTTTTGAAATTCTTCTGGCTTTTCTTTTTGACCTTTGGTATTTGTACATATCGATGCTCCCTCTAAACCATTGCACAAAAACACCTTGAAGTGTCAAGCTTTAAAAATGAGTCTTCTTTTCTCTTTCTCCTGTGCAGCCTGGATTATCTTGGCCTTGTCAAAAAACATTCTCTAGTTAGAGGTTGGAAACATTTCCCTCCTGGCTCCCCAGTATTGATTTTTCAAGGCTCAGCTCTGCCTGTCAGCCGAGCAGGGGCAGGGTGAGGGCTTGCCCGGCGCTGCCCCTCGCAGCCGGCCCGCCATCGCCTGCCGAGCTGCTACCGGCTTCGCCCGTAAGGAGCCACCGGAGCCACCGGTGTTTTAACACATTCACACCCCTGAAATTGAGGATTCGCGTAATTCCTCGGTGGGTTTTTGTTCTGAAGGCTGATTAGGTCATGTCTGACCCAGCTCCGGCCGCCCCGGCTCACCCCAGCACACAGCACTGCGGCTTCCTCCGCAGGCAAACACAACTGCTGCTTTTTAAAAATAACTCGTTATGGCAGATCCCAACCCAAACGCAACGTTGCATTAAATACATCTGGTAATCCTGAATGCCACCTCAGAAAAACCTCAGGGTTTATTTCCATTATTTCCTTCAGGGAACGTGAAGCAGAGGGCAAGGGAAGCGCGTCACCGGGCACCCAGCAGTGCTGGCGAGTTTCTGGAAGATTCACGTTCCCTTCTCTGCCTGGGTGAGGTGTTTGGGGAGTTAAAGAACCTTATTCTCAGCACCCTCCTGCCTCTGTGGTCTGTAACAAAGGCTGAAGTCCCTCCACCGTGACCCCCCGCCTGCTCTGCTGCGTTCTGCTCGCCTTCAGGCCGATTTTCTAATGAAAAGGAAGAAGTTTCTCAAATGGTGGAAAGACTTCAGGTTACTGGGCAGGGAATGAGCAGCAGGCGATTATTCACACACCGTCGGGCTGATGCCACGAAACCAACACCCTTCAGCATGATTCCATTTTATTTCACAAGCATATTTACACCGGGAAGTTGAATACATACAGAGGACGGGGAGTGGAGTTGTCAAGAAGTTGCTGGAGAGGCAGACACTTGAACCATTCCCCATACACGGTGACTTCAATCATCACAACATTTTCATACAGGTGTCTCATCATGTCATCTTTTGCTTGTAAACTGCCAACGAAGCCACATACGTCTCTACATTTACAAGGACAAGTCCAAATACAGCACTAACAAATCAATAAAGCACTAAAAGCTTACACTGGAATGACAATACACATTTCACCGCAGTGCCGAGAGCGCCAGGCTGGGCAGGATTTCAGGGCTGGGCTTAAGCAAGTCACTGTGGCGGAGGCTGGGTTTAACGGGAAGGGATCTGTCGGGGACCACGCGCGCTCGGCCCCCACCAGAGTCACGCCGGGGGCTGGCGACTCCTGGGCAAACAGCCCCCTCGCCAGCCGTGCCGCGGCTCCGGCCACACCGACCCCCTGGCAGGCCCGTGAGGAAAATTACAGCTCGCTCCTACAGCTGGGAAACCCCCACAGGCCTCTCGCTTCACACAAACAAATGCACTTGTGTGAGCTACCACGCGCCCAGGGCTCGGGTCCCGGGGTGCCGGGGGGAGAACGCCCGCAGCGTGCCCCGGCGCCTCCTCGGGAGCCGAAACCACAACCTTCCATCCCACGGGTGAAAAGCCTCCGCTCTCCCCTCTTGTGTGTTTCTCTTAATCCCCAAGGTTACACGTAGATCTGTATAAACACAATGTACATGCACGTCGCATTAGTTCACGTAGAAAAGACCCTGATGTTCTACCACAGAGTTCTCCACTAGACACTACATTCCCGCCAGAGAAGATTAAACTTGACGGCAGTTTGTGTTAAACATTCCTAACGGTCTTAGTTTCTTGCTTTTTAGACTTTTAAAATGATTTTCAAACAGCAAACAGATATGTAGCTCCGGACTTTAAATCTCACTTCCGTGTACGGTGTACTACACGGGCCACCTAAAAAAAGAAAATCAATGTTTTTTATATTTAGAAGCCATTTTAAAATAATATATTTATTCCTTTTGGGGGAAGGGAAGATTCTGTAAGTACCGTTTTTCCTTTATTATGTAAAGACAGCCTCCTTAGTTCTGTGAGCTTTTCAGACAGAAATGGCAAAGAAAAAGCTATACAAACATATACATCAATATGTTTAAATAAAATAGTATTTTATAGATTTTTTTTTTCTTTACTGTGAGCGTAAACCAGCATACTTTCACACTATTAAATATTTCACAAAATTAGATATGTAAGAAGAGGGAAACACAGTCACAGCTAATGGTACACAGGAATGTTCCTACTGAAGAGAATGTTTCAACATCTCCATTCAAATAACTTACCTGCTCCACACTTTGCATCATTTTTCCAGCCAGAGCCGCCCCCTCCAGGCCCGTGTCCTTCCCGTGGGGGTGACACGAGCACGGCCCGGCACAAATGGGAGCGGCTTTAGGGAAAAAAAAGATTTTGTCTTTTTTTTTTTTTAAATAAATACCTGCACTGGTAACAAAAACCACCTGTATATATAAATACTCCTTTTTTTCAAGTTTGCTATTCCACCTTAAAGAGATTATTCTTAATTATTATTTACACGTGGACTATTATCTTTCTCCCAGACCACAGCAGTGACTGGGCACAGCAGCACTTCCAATTCTCTCGAAAACTGAGACTTTGCGTGAGGAAACATCCCCTTCGGATCGGAACACGGGCCACCCCCCTCAAAACTCCCCCCGTCCCCGTCCCGAGGCCACGAGCCCCTCACTGAGAAACCCGCGTGCCGAGCTCCGAGACGCGCCCCGCGCCGTCACTGGGTGCTGGCTGGGAGAAAGTCCATGTAAACACGAGCCGTTTGGTAAACACTGCCATCCTGCCAGAGCCTCCGACGGGAAAAGGCGTTTGACGGGCGAGGGAGGGGCCGGGCGGTGCCTGGTTGGTGCCACCAGCCCCCGGTTCCGCCGCTCCCGCGCCGCCGGGGAAACGGGGACGGTGTCGGCGGAGCCCCCGAGGGCACGGCGGGAGGGAGGAAGCTGGGTTCCAGCGCGGGGGGTACCCTAGACCATGAAGCGATGCTCCTTGCCGTCGTGAGCCATGAGGATGACGTTGCGGTTGGAGGTCCAGATGAGCCGCGCCAGGCGCAGGGCGTTGTGGGAGCCCGGCGAGGCCGGTTGCACGGGGGGCACCTGGTAGGTTTTGATGCAGCGGAGCTGGGGCGCAGAGTTGAGCATGCCGATGCTCCCCAGGAGGGAGGTGTTCATCTGCAGAGACACACCGGGGTGACCCGCCCTGCCCGGGAGCGGCCGCAAGATGGATGTTCCACGGCAGAGGAGCGGGGGGAGGTCAGAGGTGGCCGTCACCTTGAGATCCAGTCTGCAGCTCGCCCCCCCCACGACCAACGCTGCCCGGGCTCCTGCCCTCTCGCTGCCTAACCGGGGGAGCCCTCTCCCACGCCCCGCCGTGTGACCGCCTTCCCTTGACA